ATTAATTCCCAAACCTCACACACTCTAAATAAACTGTAACTTTAAAAAATCGACATAAACTGGTTTTATTTAAGTCAAACATATTGTTTAATGTATTTAATGACTGAATCAAATATACTCATTTATATATTAGGCTACTAACAAAGTTATGATATACTATCGCAATGGCATTTGATTGAATGTCTTAATTAGGGAAAGAGCATTAAAACTGAAGTGTTTCACCTGTGCTGAGACGAGCAGAGACGCAATAAATTGTTCCGGAGATCAACAGCGTCACTTCCGGTTCTGTGAAAGCGGATCAATCATGAAAACATCATCCGACAGGAGTGTGAAATCCTTGAAGAAGTCCAGTAAAACAGGCAGGACACGCAAACAGAGCAGCACGAAATATTCTGCCTACATCTACAAGATTGAGAAGGTGTGTAAAAGGAAAGAAAAAAAAAAAAAAAAAAAAAAACATCGTCTTTTTTTCCGTATTAAAATTAACGGTAGCCTAACGCTTTACAATAAGGTTAATTAGTTAACATTAGTTAATGTATTATTTACTAACACTAACAATGGGCAATCCAGTTGTTACAGTATTTATTCTTTGTTAAATGATAATGAAAATACTGTTGTTCATGTTAGTTTAGAGTGCATAATGTTAACAGAGACAACCTTTGATTTTTAATGACGTATTGGTAAATTATTAACTAAGATTAATAAATGCTGAAGTAGCCTATTCTTAATTCATGTTAAGGTAGCCTAGTTAACCAATGAACCTTTATTGTAAAGTGTTACCAAACTAACATGTATCTTTTGATGTTGCTTTTTGAATAATTCATGCAACAGAGCCTAAAGTTGTATTTATTTTTATTTTTTTTGGAGAATTTTAAAGTGACACTTTTATTTATTTTTAGGAGCTGTCTGTTGACGTGAGTGACGCCATCTCTCTGATGGGACGCCGGGCAGATGTGCACGCGCAGGTGGGCACCGAGGCCGCGCGCCTCTCCAAGTTCAACCGGAGGCGCGTGATCACGCAGCGAGAGATCCACGCCGCCGTGCACGCGCACCGGGGCAAACCGTCTGAGTGACCGCTGGAGATCAATGATACACTTTTAGACTGGCAAATTAATAAAGAGGCTTTGTTTTTAAAAACCTTTGACACTGTGACATTTTGTGCTGTTACATTACACTTTCACTTTGAGGTTTAATGCAGGGCATGTCAAACTTTTTGGAGCCAGGGACCCCTAATAGGGAATAATTTTCCAGAGACCCCCCATCGTATTTATGACAGTGATAATGATTCCTGGGAGTAAAGGACATAATGATTGTTTTATTGGTGCAAAAAGTCCCTACTTAAATACTGCACAATTTTATTCCATTTACTGTATTTTATGGAAAAGTTGCTCAAGGTCAAACTTGCTTTGAAAGCGGACACAGTCGCATTTTATTACATTCAGAAATGATGTAAAATAGCGGAAGCCTAAAAAAACCATAACGTTAAACTCTATAAACATGTAGGCCTATTTTACTTCCCCTCACTCCAAATGAATTCAAGGTATTCAGAACAGAGCAAAATTGAAATGTAGCCTATAGAATAGAAATAAGTTAGTGCCATTAATTACAAAATAAATGTAAATGCCAAGCAACAGGTAGCATAGTCAAATTTGAAGTTCACAATGCTTCCAACCTTTTGTTATAAAGCCAGTTTTAGTGTTTATTTAGAATGAAGGATATTCGTTTTCATATGGATTTGAGCCCTTGTTTTTGCTTTCCCGTTTTCTCTAATGGCAAAATAAATAAAAATCTGTAAAAAGGTCTCATTGCGACAATCGTCACTTGGTGGCGCTGTAACATCAGCGATGACGTCATTTAAACAGTCTGTCTGGTCATTTAAATGATTAATTAACTGGTTCTAGCTTAAAGGAAAAGCGTCATGTTCATGTCCAGATCGTTGAGGCCAACAGACACTTTATAAATAAATTATAATAATAATTTGCATACTTTAATAACATTTGAAACACACGTGACTTGCCCCACCCTGACATATCAGAAAGAGTTTTATTGCCAAGTGTGCTTTTATTTCATATTTTATTTATAAATATATTTTTTTTATGAAAAATACTCTTGCCCTGACAACATAGTTGAACCTTTCAGATAAAATAACAGAAAAAAGAAGAGGTGTTTGTATCCGCAAATGAACTCGTTTGTGTAATTGGCTTTTTTACTCTAATCAGATCAAATTAAAATCTGATCAAATTAGTCAAACTGAAGTATTGTAGCAATACAATGACAACAGATTATTATAGGCTATATATTATGTACGTGTATTATATAAAGACACGATATTTACAGTAGGCCTATAGAAGAATGCACAGAATTATACATTAATAGAGTAGCCTACATTATGTGTTAAGTGCATTATCAGTAACAACTGAGAGCCTATAATGTGTCATCTAAGTGACTTAAAGTGCGAATAAAAGACATGTGAATGACAAAAAGCAATTAGGCCTTAATAGACTGAATGTTTTTTTGTTTTGTTTTTACCAGGTACAGGCTGAACAAACGCTTTTAAATCTGATACTAAATGTGATCCTCTGACGTTCATTCCCTTTTAAAACCCGGACTACCTTTTTAAGCGTTTGACAATCACCCTTCCAACAACACTGAGTGGAGGTGTGGCTGTAGCGTTGACTGGCGCACGTATCAGCCAATCAAATGCCTGCGCCCCTGACTGGGCGGGAATAACGGTCTCTTTCTCACCAATCAAAACGCCCCGAGCGAAGCCTCCGTCCAATGAGAAGCGAGCAGTCAGCTGACGCCGTTTCGCATCTCTTGTACACAAGCCTCGAGCTGAGACAGACGCGATCACTGTGAATCCAGAACTCATGTGAATTTATCCCTCATTTACTAACGGACCTCTTCACAAAGGTATGTCGCGTGTTATTTGAGCATTTCCCTTCTGGAATAGGCCTCGCGTGACTCAAAAGTGTAAATACCAGCTGCGCATTGGAGATCACATGCTTATTAGTTAAGGCATTAATTAGCTTTGCAATCAAATCTCTAGAACGCATAAGTTATGTGCATTTGGGCTTTGAATTAATTTATATTTCTGTCTGTGCAAATGAAATACTGCCGATCAAGGAGTTTGCTTATAATGACAAAATCATTATATTATCACGACATGCATTCTTTACAATATTTAATAACAATAGTAATGCATGCTATTAAATAAATAGTAAAATGTGAAAATAGATATGTGTTTTTTTTACACGTTTTTTAAATCTAGAATAGATGCATTGAGTTTATTGTTGTAATTGATTTAATGTTATATTAAAAGGATAATTCATCTAAAAATGAAATAAGTTCTCGCCCTCATGACGTTTCAAACCCGTAAGACATTTGTTCATCTTTGAAACACAAATGATAATGTTTTAATGAAATCGGAGAGCTTTCTGTCCCTCCATTGACAGCTAAGCAACTACCACTTTCTCAGCTCTGCTCAACACAACACGCATGCGTCGTGGTGCTCGCGCGGTAGAGATACATTTAGTAAATAAAGTGGTAAATTATGTGTTTTTGCACAAACAAAGCACTCACATCACTTCATAAAATTCAGGTTAAACCACTGGAGTCACATGGATTACTTTAATGATGTCTTGCTTTCTGTAGAGACAAATAAACGGTTTGGAGAAAATCGCATGTGTAACAGTACATTAGATCTGTGCATTTCTTCTTAAAGGGACAGCAGCCTAATAAACTGTTGCCATGCGTTTCATTAAAGCTAATTTAATTTATGTTAAAAAAAACTATAGTGTTTTATTATTTTTATTATTCAGTTTCTGTAGTTTTTCTTAAGACAAGTTAAATAAAACTAGGCTACTGTACCTGAGAAACTTAGTAGTTTGATTATTTTCATTTTATTTACCAGTTTTATATTTGCAAAAGTGTTATTTTTTGTATCAAGGAATTTTATTTATATATACTCAGTAGTTTTTCTCTTAGTGTCAGGCCTACCCTGGTTCATTACAGAAGACTGACAGTCGTGTGTGTTATGATTGCAGTAAAGGGCATTTGTTTTATAATATTAGGTTGAATATTGGGAAGAAAAACGAAATACATTTCAAGGGTTAAAATTAACTCTTTTAAATAATAAAAAATGTTCCCCGTCTAAACTATCTACGCAGTCAAATATGAAAAGTAACACAAAACAGTCAAATCTGATTCAAAATCGAGACCTTTTATCCATTTTTTTTTTTTGTACTTGAACTAAATGAAAATGAGATGTTACCAGCAGTTCTAAAATAAGTTTACTTTTGAGCATTTTATTTTATTTCAGTTAACGTTTACGGTAACGCTATAATAAGGCTCCATTAGTTAACACTGCATGAGTTAAGATGATGACGTAACAATGAAAAAAAACTTTGGTTAATCTTAATTATTGTTAAATTTAACATTTACTAATACATTATTAAAATCTGTTGATATTATTAATGGACCTTAGTTGACATGAACTTACAATGTTGTATTTTTTATTAACTAATGTTAACATAGACGAATAACAAAAGTATTGCTCATTGTTAGTTAGTTTTAGTTAATGCATTAATGTTAAGTTGTAAAGTTTTAACCTTTTAATCGAATCCTGACCTCAAGAATGCACTTGAATCGAATCATGCGATGCCGAGAGATTCCCATCCCTAGTGATTAATCATTTTTTCATGATTCTGTGCAAATCTTGAGTGGCTTATTCTTTAAATGCCAGTTGTTATGCTGTTATTTATCATGTGTCTGAATGCGTTTGTTGTCCTGCACTTCTGATGTCCATCTCGTCCCCCACAGATGCAGTTCATGCTGTTGTTCAGCAGACAGGGGAAGCTCCGGCTGCAGAAGTGGTACGTTCCTCTGTCCGATAAGGAGAAGAAGAAGATCACTCGAGAGCTGGTGCAGACGGTCCTGGCCCGCAAGCCCAAGATGTGCAGCTTCCTGGAGTGGAGAGACCTGAAGATCGTGTATAAGAGGTCAGTGGAGCTGTTTTAAACTTTAACTGATGAGAAGTCAACCTTTAATCAGTCAACTGAGGAATCAATCTCTTTCAAAGCGTTCTATCCCATGATTCACTGCACTCGATCGAATTCACCTTCCGTTACTGTTGTGACAAATGAAGTTAAAGTAGTTTCAGAAACATTGGAAAATAATAATCAACCAGACACCAATCTCTGAATCAAACGTGCGGCATAATAAACAGGTCATGTGACTATTCAGCATATTACGGTTTGAAACATTTATTTGAGAAATAACAGTCATATGATGGGTATTTTCTACTACCTATTATGATTTTTATTAATATTTTAAATGTTATATATGGTGAAAGTTTTACTAATTTTGTATTTTTGTAAATTTTATTAGTTTTTGTTACATAGGTCTGTAGTTTGGTATTATTTTTCTATATTTGTATTTTTATTTTTATTTTAGTGCTGTCAAATCAATGAATCGCGATTAATCGCATGTAATATAAAAGTTTGTAAATATATATGTATGGATGTATCTATATCAAAATAAATATATATATATATATATATATATATATATATATATATACACACAGACATATATTTACAAACTTTTAAATTACATGTGATTAATCAATTTGACAGCACTCTTTTATTAATTTTAGTACTTGAACTAAATGAAAATGAGATGTTACCAGCTGTTCTAAAATAAGTTTACTTTTGTGCATTTTATTTTATTTCAGTTAACGTTTACGGTAACGCTATAATAAGGCTGCATTAGTTAACACTTCAGTTAAGATGACGTAACAATAAAAAATAATTGTAATTATTGTTAAATTTAACATTTACTAATACATTATTAAAATCTGTTGATATTATTAATGGACTTGAGTTGACATGAACTTACAATGTTGTATTTTTATTAAGTAATGTTAACATAAGTACATAACACAAGTATTGCTCATTGTTAGTTAGTTTTAGTTAATGCATTAATGTTAACTAGTGGGACCTTGCTGTAAAGTCTTACCATGTTTATTTTATTTAAAGTAACAAAGTATTTGTTTTTTATGGTTTTATTGTCAGTTTTAGTTAAAGACAATCACCCTGGCGAATACGAGCATCAGTGCATATTGAGAGAGTTTGAGATTAAAAGTGTGTGTGTGTGTGTGTGTGTGTGTGTGTGTGTGTGTGTGTGTGTGTGTGTGTGTGTGACTAACTACTTAGGAAGTGGTTAATGCTAAAACGTCTTGGCTACTAATTTAACCATGCTGTGGGAAAACTTCCTGAATGTCTTTAAATATTAGCTCAAGTTTTGCTCCAGTTCGAGTCGAGCTTCTTGTCACGTGATTGGTGGGATTTGCTCATGATGACATTAGAGTGTTTTCAGTATGAAATGTTCACAGTAAAGAGAAGGAACACATTTTAAGAAAGTAAGTAAATGGAATGTTGGTGACAAGTTATTAAAATATGCACACACACAGAGCTTGTTTACCGGCACACACTAATGGATGGTAATTAGTTTATGAATCTGATATTTCCCGTCTCTGGAGCGCAGTTCTTCATGTAGTGTGAGTTACTGTGTCCCGCACGCTATCACATGAGGAAACCATCGCTCCTTCAGACCAGGGTGTTTCCATGGCAGCGGGAATGGGGGGTACATGGACATTGACCTGAGAACTGACACACACACACACACACACACACACAGGGAAATGGACTCACAAACATCCCACTTGTACCGGCACTGCAGTGTTTGATATTGATATAATATTTAATTTCATTGTAATCACCAGAATAGCTAGCCTGGCGTGGTCATCCTCAGATTAGTCAGCATGAGAGTCTGATGCGGCTCCATTGGGCTGGGATTATGGGGCGTTTCAACCCAACCAGGAAAGAAATGCCTCTGAACTCAATCAGACAAATGCCTTGATCGCGGTTCTCTGTTCCTCTTTTAAAATGAATGCGCTGTACGCAAGGCCGTAACCAGGGTTTGAAAATGAGTGAGGTCCGGGGTGAGGTGTAAAGAATTGTGCTATAATAATGGTTAGGCCATTGGACCCACATTTCCCCATGGACATTAAGCTGCGACCCTTTTTTTAAAAAGGAATTTGACATATACAGGGGTTAAATTGGGATTTATTATGTGGGTGGGGGGGGGGGGGGGGGGGCTCTTACTAGGGGGGTCTGGGGGTATGCCCCCCCCCCCCCCCCCCCCCCCGTGATAAAAAAAAAAAAAAAAAAAAAAAAAAACATTAAATGGCACTTTCTGGAGAGTTTTGTTCAAAGAAATATAGAATAAAAAGTAGGTCTAACAAATATGCTGACTGAATAGATTGCTAGTTGAGAAACACTGCTTTAATGAATGTTTTTATGAAGACTTTGCGTTGTGAATTTCGGTTCGCGTACCCCGAAGTGATAAAATAAAACAAAATTCTGTATCAAAATTTATAGGCAAGACAAGTAGTTTGTTTAGGCATGGGTTGTATGGAATTACAAACCTGCGCACATATATTCAAATGCATGTGAACGCCATCAGCGTTAATCACAGGTTTGCGTTTAAAGTCTGATCATTTCGCCGGAAGTGAATCAATCAAAATTAACTTTAGCTGGAAATAACATTATTCAAGAACCGCTATAAAACCAAAACAATTTCTGTTACCTTAAATTATATGTTTATCTCTGTAAAGCTGCTTTGAAACAGTCCATTGTTAAAAGCGCTATATAAATGAAGATGACTTGACTTGACATGACTTTGTGAAAGGTTAACTAAACAGCATGAGCCGTCTTCCAGCTGGCCAGTAAGTTATTTCATTTGGCAAATTTAATTCTGTAACATACAGATCTGTATTATGCCTATGCTATTTTTTTGATAGTGTTATACATTTCTTACAGATAATCACGATGATCATTGCGTTTGTCTTACCGAATAGCTACAGTTTGTCTATAAGCTTTTTTTTTAATTAATGCCGACACTAAATGTTGCCAGATATTGCTACGAAAAACAAAACAAAATAATAATAATAACCCGAAATAAGTTCAAAGCTTGTGTTTTGGAAATAAGATTAATATATCACTAACCCTAACATGCAACTTTCCACTTTAATAACTTCCTAAAGTGTCACATTAAATCAGATAAACAGGTCCAGGAGAACTGCCACCTTTCCATTAGGGGGATCTGGCAACACGGAGGCTGCACCCGCGCCCTCACTCACGCGCGCTCTCAAGCCCCGTTCACTGCGCTAGCTTCTCGCAGCAACATGAATTGCAAACACTCATATGAGGTGGTTTAAACACGGCTAATTAATCATTCAGAGAGCTTGACATTTTATTTTTGAATGTAAAAAAAACGACCGAGGTCCGGACCTCGGTGACCTCATAGTTGGCTACGCCATGGCTGTACATCTTCTATAACGGACGCGATGCTGAATCAACACATCTCAGTTCTCCAGCGGCGGCCATCTCTGTTGTACACGAATTCAACCCAAGCGCACTTTGGTGACGTGATGATTACGCTACGGTTGATCATCTGTCCATCATCGTATAAAGCCCGCCCTGATGATTTGATTGGTCCGAACAGCTTTGGTTCGGTCATACTTGCTTCACAACGGATCAAGTCCAGACCGAACTTCCCATCCTCAGATGTTGTGGGCGGGGCTAAGCTCAGCTGGCATCCAGGCTACAGAATAACAGTGATACTGCTAGACTTTTGCCTTTCCTATAGAAAATGTGAACGTTTTCCCATGTAAAACTTCCCACTGCAGGGAATGGACCCCGATCACACCGAATGCGGTTTTTAACGCACACAGCGCTGCCTTTTTTTGGCCCCGATCACATTTTTTTATATGTTGCTAGGTAACCACCGAAACAGCTGTCCTGTCAGTCAAGTAAACGTCATATTAGCCTTATATTAACTTTATTTACTTTCTGTTAACGTGAAGTCGTGAAGCTCCTGGTAACCCGCGAGAGCACCACCAGTTTCTCCTCCATCTCTGCAGTCTCTGGACGTTCAGAGCAACTGTGGCTTTCGTCACTACAACGGAAGCCCCGCCTCTCCATTCATTTGATTGGACAGTGGGAAAAAAACGCGCATTCGGTGTGTTCGGGGGTGTTCGGAGTGGGTGATGATGGGGACCTGCATAATATAAGTGTCCCCTAGAATGTGTGTGTGAAATTTCAGCTCAAAATCCCCCACACATCATTTATTACACCGTGTTGTAAATGCATTTTTAAGTGGAAGGAAAGACGCGCTGTTTTCACGCATGTATCTTTAAATGCAAATGAGCTCTTCTGGAAAGGGGGCGGGGCCTTTACGGCTCACCTCTATACTCTGACAAAAACTAAAACATCTGTTGTCAAATACACACTAAGTTCGCATAAACACAGTCGGTTATATCTATATGAAGCTGCATGAGTATATTAGATCTGTGTATTAAAGTGACAGCAGCGTAATATACAGTACTTTACTGCTGTGTGTGTGTTAACATGAATCAAACAAGGAAACCACTCGCTGCTGTTGACTGAATAACTTTAGCAGCTTTAATAAGAACACATTTCTTATTTGAATGCTGCTGTTAAATGCTGTGGCGAGGAGATAAACATGACAGACTGTGTACAGCTCACTGAGGGGCGGAGCTATGCTAATGGGGTGGAGCCTGTCAGCAGTTGTGGGCGGAGCCTAAGTAAATGTGAAGTCACATTCTTGAACGGCATTTTGAGACACTGTTTCAGATTTATGGGAAAATAACAAGTAGTGGATTTTTTTTTTTTTACCACAATATGGTGGTCGTGGACACAAAAATATGTTACATATTTTACAAATTAATTTTGAATAATAGGTCACCTTTAATATCACATTATTCTGTGTGTGTCTGCACTGGATTGTGTGTGTATGAGGGTTTCAGCTTCTGAAAACAAGAGGAATACACGTTGGCACAGTTGATTTATCAGCGTATGATGTTGATATCGTGTTTTTTGGTGTTTCTGGAATGAGAGTAACCGTGTGTAATTTG